AATCAGTTACTGCTCTTGTTTTAACCCACCTCCTTTGATTTCCTGAGCAGCTCAGATTCAAGATAGACCTTCTCTCTCATCTGAAGTCGCGTCGCACTGCGGAGCTGCGAGAAGGAGCGAGAGGCACAAAGGCCTTTGTCTGCTGTGGCCTTTCGGGCCCGCTGCAGTGCTGAGCTGTTTGGCGATGGCTCAGCTAGAAAATACTTCCTGTCAATCATCTGGTAATTGAAATAGCCAGCAGCACTGGGCAGTGGGGAGAACCAGGAATTAATAGCAAGTTAAGAAAACACTCTGAAAAAATCATTTTGCTCCACTTTGCTCTTCCACGCGTAAGAAAAGTGCATGCAAACACATATACCGAGGCATACCTTGATAAAAGGGTATAAGTTATCTATAAGAAGGAGTTAATACACAATGGTTGTGGACATTACATTTTAGGTGATTACATATCAGTATTCTCTCTACCTCATTATAGATGCTTTGTTTAAGATATGGGATGCTGATTAAAAAGTCCCTCTCAAGGTAACTTTTGCTGGTCTTGAACATCAGGGATAAAATAATACTTCATGCATGCCTGACTCACACTTAAAATTTCTTCAGTCAGATGACATTATTATATGATGCGTGATGCTGAACAGGTTTAAAACATGTTTTACATGGCACAATCAAACACAATGCAACTAGTAAGACTAGTAGTTGGTACCCAGTGACAATACAACTCCAGGCTTGTGCTGTGGTGAGATAATGAATTACCCAGATCATTAGAGGCACTCGTTTCACCTGCTGCCTCATGATACTTCCAAGGAGCATGTTATCTCTGGGTAACACATGTCTGCTTGTACCTGACTGTTTAATTATTGTACACAAAATTCCACATCGGAATAATTGTCATCTCAAGGTACTCCTGTGCACTGCAGGGTCCTTCTGATTCCTGATGTAAGTGAACAAGTGTAGGTTGTGCTGCAAATAGAACAACCTTGGTAGAGATTTGTCCCCCAAACCGATGGAGTTTGACAACTTCAAATACTACCAGGAAATGAATATAATGCAAGTGTTGTCATTACAATTTTAATTCTGATAGCCACAGCTGTTTGAGATTTGTCTATGCCAAAGCTTACTTGTGGGAATGCACAAACCAAGATTTCGTAGCACACTTTCCCTAGGTCATTACTTAGTAGTGCTAGATGGTCTTCCCTAATGACAGCCTTTCACCTTTATAAACAAACAAATAAATACTCTTTGGAGAAAGGCTTTGAATCTAGCTTTTTACATATCAGGTGAATGGGATACAGATTAAGCCCTTGATGCAATGAATTAGTTATATGAAGTGCAGGAGCTCCATCAGATAGAGTGGGCAAGTCCCACATGACAGAAGACTGAAGCACTGCATGGTAAGTAGTATGCTTGAGGTATGGGAGGCCTAATCCCAAATTTCTAGTATTACCAGCAAGGGTATGAGCTTGCACTTGGATTTTTCATCTGAGGTTTGAACACCTGACATACAAAGCATCCATGATGCAGTCTTCTTTATACACAATTAAATGGGTTTACTTTTGCTCTGTGAGAAATCTCATCTCAGAGCATATGCCTCAGCCTCAAAACCAAAACTGTTCATATGAACAATGGGTGTTTTGGCCAGTTGCCATTTTCTATCACTTCCCATCCTTGAAAAAGAAGGATGATCCCTTAAATACCCACAGCCCTCTGAGTACCTCTGAAAAGCCTCAGTAAGATCTAGCTTCGTTGCTGTTTTTTTAAAAAAAACTTCAAATATTACCATTCCAGGAAGTATTTAAATATTTTGGCACACTTATTTACTAGAAATGGAGAACTCTGGGGGAAATCAAAAGGTTTCTTGCCATCTTGGTGATGTTCTGGGCTCTGGATGCACTGTCAGTTGTATTTTGACCCCTACAGCGATTGATCCTAAGCTTCTAATTGTGTTGACAATCCATCACCCAAATTGCTTGATATTTGGGAAGGCAGTCTGTCATCTGAACTACTCAATATTGTGAATGTAGCATTTCAGATAATATCTTACCATGAATCAGTAACAAGAAGGAATGGAATCATACAAGAATCTTAAAGGCTCAATTATAAGGGTTATTTTAACCCAATCCCAACAGATGTTTACTCATTCTTTTATGCAATCAAAATTGCCTTCTACTTAGACAGTATCTTTCAAGACATCTGAGGCAACAGAACCTACACTAAAAATTCTTTTTCTATTTAATCAATCCCACTTTAATGTTGATATTTAAACATATACCTAGAAGGTATTATGAACATACGCAGTTCTACAAATGATTTTTATTTTGGGCTCTATGTACACTAGCAAGTTTCTCAGCATAAAAGGAAATGTTTGTTTTGTGGAAGCAACTGGATCTGAGGTCCACCACAGAAATCTGGGGCATTTCCAATGGCCTGTAGTTACTTTGGGCCCCTGAATTGAACATCCCCGCCATGCACAAGAATCAGAGCAGCAGAAAAATTAAGCGATTACTACATTTTCCTCTCCTCCTGGGACAGTTTGTTTTCCTTTCAAAGGAGTCCAGTTCACACATATTCACTCCTACTCTGTGAACCATCATGTGCTAAAAAGGGATAATCCAGGGATCAGCTGGGTCCTCTGGTCCACACAAAAACTGCACTGCTGCTCCAAGCCCAAACACTAACATGCCTTTCTTCACGCTGCTGACAACCCAACCTGCACACTGGGTAACAGGTAGAAAAACACTGGCATTATTAATTGTCACCATGAAAGTTATCTGTGGTTGCTCAGTGTTTTGTCATAAACTTCTTTGGGAAGTACCTACTGGATAAATTGTGCATTTGTATGGGATTAAGAAACTATGTGTAGAAACTCTCACAGACATTTATATACATATAATATACACACACAAACATATTTATATATATATGTACATATAAATATATCATATGTATATGTAAGTATAAAAATACTTAGCATACTTCCTTATTTTGAATATATATTTTCCAGTCCTAAAGGGTGCTGCCAGAGCTTTTACCCACCTGTGATTTCTCAGTGTTCTTTTCCATTGTGCTCCTGCTCAGCTGCAAGAAAGGAGAGAAATTATGAGCTCTTTCATGGAGGATATAGATTTATTTTACTCCTGATGAGAAATTAAGGTTGCCCTGACTGACAGCATGTGGTTTCTATTTCTGTTTATAGGTAACCTTACAATAGTAGGTCAAAAGGATTAGAGGAAGGTCAGTGTTACTGTTTCTTGAGGAAACCGACAATTGTGGATTCACATCAGTGTTCTTGCTTTCCAAAGAAAGTGGAAATCTTATATGACAGGTTTTTTCAAACACCTGCTTCTTTTTATTTTTCATTTTTTAAAGTAACTGAAGTAAAGAATACACTGGTGTGCTTATTTAACTTTCTATTTTCTTCATTACATAATAAATACTAAACAGAGAAAAGGGTTAATTTGTTGTCTGATACAGGCCTTAAAATGCACTTTTTCTCATAAAAATGAAGCAAAAAACATCAATAGTAGTAAACCTCATATATTATTTAAGACAAAAACACATGGAGGGACTATAATATCACTGAGCAACATACTCATATATAAGCAAAAAAGGTTTTCACCTTCTACTCTCTGGTCTGGCTATTCACCAGTGTTTCAGGGAAAACTCACAGAGCATCTCAATTCATATTGTTTACACATACAAGGATCCATGTAGTCTATCGATTTATTAGCGGCATATAAATAACTGGCAATCAGTGATCTGTACATTCAGGATCAATATCAGCAGTGCAGCAAATAAACGACAAGCTTAGGTGCTTACACAATGTTAATATGTAAATACAAATTTCTTTACAGTCATTTTCCTCTTTAACATGATGGGTTTCGGGCGTTGAGCGCACTCAGTTTACACTCACTCTCCGACATGTTACCTAGCTTTTATCAAGGCCATTTCATCATGGGTGAGCTATGTCTTCACATCCCACACCTCACCACCCAGTTCATCCCACTGAAGAGAGTTTGTCCTGCATACACAGCACGCAAAACATGTGGAGCATCTTGGAATATTTTTTGGATTGCATGCAGTAAATCTCACTGTATTAGGACCTATTTCTACTCCTCAAGAAAGGACTGCAATGCTCCAGTTGCTTTTAATGGTTGAGGAATCACATTCCCTCGAGTGAGAAGATAAGCTGAAAGGATTTTTAATTAAAACTCACTGTTCCTCATCTTTATCCCAGAAGTCTGTTTCATGTCAAAAGAACAAAAGCCAATCTTCCTATCTCTCCCTGGCACTGCAGGTATGTCTTGCACACTGTTTGCTTGCTCTCACAAGAAAACTAGATTGCACATGAGGGTATCGCAAGTGGGAAGGAGCACACAAATGGACACATCTTGAACTCAGCTATGGGCACACACACGCAGCAAACCAAGCTGCAGAACCATATTGCTCTGCGGCTTGCCGCAGGATTTCCTTAGGAAATGAAATACGTGGAGCAAGCATACTTCATGTTGAGGTAGCCAAAACCCGCTGCAAAATCCCTGTTCTCTCTTCCTGCATGCCTTGGGCAATGAGTCAGCAGGACAAGAAGTGCCTACAGGCTTCAGGGCACTCTGCGACACGGACAGCAGATGGCTCAGGAGCTGTAAGGGGAGGTGCTGTGGTCTGCATAGTCCTCTGAGGGTCATTGGTCCACCTGGCTGGAGGAACCCACCTGCGGAGGAACCCGCTGCAGCCACATAAAGTCACTGCCAAATTACGACCATGTCACAGCAGCTAAACTACTTAAATTGTGCTAGGCTAAACCAGGTATCGTCGAGGGACTTCACTAAAATTACTCAAGGCATGGATTTTGCTTCCAAAGGCAAGGCATCCCATTAACCAAAATCAAAACAGAACTGCTTCGAACTAAAAACTGATTAGGAGAAGCCATGTAAAACCAATGGTGATAACCAAACAGTCACGTATCATCTATGAAAGGTCATGAAAAACAGGAGATATGCCTGAGGATTGGAGGAAAGACAATGTCACACCAGTCTTCAAAAAGGGTAAGAAGGAGGATCCAGGCAACTACAGGGCAGACAGCCTCCCCTCCATCCCTGGGAAGGTGACTGCGCAGCTCATACTTGATGTTGTCTCTAAGTATGTGGAGGACAAGGACCTTGTGATCAAGAGTAGTCAGCATGGAATCACCAAGGGAAAAAACACAATTAACCAATGTGATAGCTGGACAGATGAGGGGATAGAACTGGATGTTGCCTACCTTGATTTCAGGAAAGCTTTTGACACTATCTCCCATAACATACTCATAGACAAGATCAGGAAGTGTGAGTTAGATGAGTGAACTCATCTGCTCCTAAAGGCAGGCTGTGAAGTATCTGTGTGTTGTATTCGCAGCTTTACAGAAAACTTTCACAGAAACACATTTCTTTTTCACATAGGTCCCATGGATGCATTTTACTTACCACCGTATCAACAAAAACAACAACAAAATCAACAAAAACTTTAAGAAAATGTAGGAATTCAGTTCTCTTTGCCGCTAATGGCAGTGCTTGTTTCTCTATTTGGTATGTAAACAACCAGTTATGTAATTTTCCGATAGGAAAGTAACTGAAGAAGATAAGCACAGAGCCCAAAAGAAAGTAAGGAGAACCAGCTGAAGCCTAGGCAAAGCTAGTGCAATTAACTAGCACACACACAAATACAGTGAACTGAGCTTGTTTTGTTTGCCTTGTACTAGCCTGTGTTTATATTGTGTGATTTTTGAAGGAGAAGAGGGTATTAATGCACAGGGGAGAGATCATTTTTACTGTTTTTCTTCTCCTTTCATTTTTATCAAATGTTTAGTTTAGATGACAGGAGGATTAGTTGTAATTTTTTTTAATCACAATCTTGTTTATGCTACAATTTTCATAATTTGGTCCCAAACTCATGCGATTACTCATCACATTTTTACTACTTTTATTCGTAGAATTGATATCTTTTGATCTTCTGCTGTTTTTCCGTATGTTTAAAGGTTTCCAAACTAATTAAGATGATTAACTAAAAAAGACTAATTGCATTCATAAACGCAATGTGCCACTTCTGATTAGCAGGTGGCTCTTTTGTGTTTTGGATACATAAAAGCAGATGGAAATGTGGCAGACTCAGTTATATTTAATCTGCCTGTTTTCTTCCAGACTGTTCTGCTTTCCAGTTAACACTGCTAACGACAATGAAACCTATGAAAGCTTTATTTATTTATTTATTTATTTATTTTTGACCACACATTCCTAACCAGGAGGTTTTAAACTGTTCTTTTTAAACATTTGGACGCTCCTCCTCACAAGCTTCAAGGTGCTTAGAAGGACAAGAGAAGAAAACACATTGTAGAACATCCTTAAAAATATTCTGTTTCTTATTTTTGTGCTTAGGACACTATCAATGTTCTTTAGAACACTGTAAATGTTCTTTAGAACTCACGGACAGATAAACACTGCACAAAAGTACTCCCCTGTCATTCCTAAATTCTTTTTCCACCGTTTTCAGCATTAAAACACACAACTATATGCTTTTTTCTATATCAATTTTCTCTCATATAATATCACTAATGCAACTCTGATTCAGTTTCTTCACTGTACCCTATGCTCCATTTATTTAGGCTTCTTCTGAAATCCTACTTCTTGTAACATATACTCTCCTATTCGACTATTTGCTCATTACTTAACATTTTTGGTGTTACCACTTTTGATGAAGTATCTGCTATCCATCCACTCCCCAAATCTTGGCTATTCTTCATTTAAGCAATTTTCTTGCTGAAATATCAAATAAAACCCCTGTTAATCAACATTTGTGTAGCTGACATATATTTGTTTTGTATGTGCACGTCTATGTGAATATGTATATGCAAACAGATACAAACAAGCACATTGTCTTTTCATTTCTATATGCATAGAATTTCTCTATGTGTAGCATCAGAGAAGCAAATAGTCAAATATATCTTGCAAGAACAAGTTCACATATACATCTAAGAAAACTATATTACATTTTTCTGTTTGTAGTCTTATACTGATATGGTCTTCAAATTAAATGTGTGATTTATTTTTTGTTTGTCATATGTGTCCATGGTACATGCACAGAATGTATACTTTAATAGGAATTTGTTTACAGGTCTTAAGTAACAACAGTTTTTCAATGGCTACTTTTTTTCGTTTGTTTGTTTTCTTATCTCTTTTGGGCATTTCCAAACTATAATGCTTTTTCCACTGCACAAACAGACACAATAACAAAATATAACAGTAAAGCCACATGACGTTATATGAAATAACTGGTTCATAGATGACTAACGAATAGTTGCTGCTTGTTTTGTATAATATATGTATATATATATATTTGTATGTATACAAACACTTATACACGCCCAAAAACACTCTAAATGTACAAACACCCTACCTTTGTGGTACACAAAAACAGTTTAACAATTTAAATGTGTTTATAATCAGTTATTCTTCATAATATATTACCTTTCTTCTAAACCAAGTTAACCATTAAACAGAAGCTGACCACTATTTAATAGTGCTTACTAAACTACCTGCTCTGTGTCCACTTATACGAGAAAAAAATATACCAGAATAAGAGAAAATGATCTGTGATTTACACAATTAAAATTGGCTATATGGCTATATGGACTGAACACTTATCTAACATTGATCTGACAGAAACTTTTCGATGCTGTAGCATTTTTTTTTAATTTCACAATAAGTAAGTGAGGGTGAAGGAAAAAGAAAACAAATAAACAAAAAACAGATTACAGGGATTAAATTATGTTGAAGCAAGAAAAACAATTCTTCCACATCCAAGGACCATATCTGCACCGTCTTCAATGGATCTAGATTATGCACTGCTTAGGTAGAATTATAGGAAATGAACAATATTTTAAAAGTTTTGGAACGCCTACCAACTTCCCCTGTGCTGCATGAGGCGACCAAAAACTGAATAGAACATAATATATGGGATAGAGCCCAACATCTGTTGTATAATAGTAATGGTAGGAACAAGTAATGAACTCTCTCCCCCGAAAAAAATGTCAAGTGAAGGTGCAGAATCTGCATTCAATAGGGAAAAAGATTATCCTCCCAAAGTCTCTCTCCATTTTACCTCATTTTTTTTCTCTGTTCACATCTATATGTTAAAAAGGAAGCTGAAAGGCAAATGTGTAGCTTTTAATATAGCATTAATCAGAAAGTGTGCTATGCCCCAATTATAAATGAAAAAAAACTATGCCAGCATTCAAAATACGAAAGTGTGTAATAGGGGATTTTCTGTACTTCATTACTTCTGCAGTTTCACTGTATTCTGTATATTACCGTGAATAATAGCATTCCAGAATTTTAAAACAAGAGTCTTTAACTCTTGCTTAGGATATTTGTCTTAAGAGAAAAGTTTAGGTGAACAAAGATTTCAAGACATTGCCAGGATTTCATGAATGCAGCTACATACAGACATTTATTTGTTGCTCAAAACCCCAAACCTGGAAGGCATCTTTGCCAATAAATCTGAGTAAGTGCTATTAGTACAGATGCTATTGAATACTAGCATCCTGTATCATCTGTTTAAAACCCTGTTATAAAGGAACTGTATGACTAAGGGAATTTGTAACAGGATATAGAGCCTTTCACCTCTAGGTCATAGTTATAATCTGAACCAGACAGCGAGAACCCAGGAGTCAATGCCGTGTAATTCCCATCTACTGACTTAAGTAAAATTAGTCTGTGGCCTCCAGGGAATTTCTATAGAAGAAATACTGTAACCACAATAGGCGAGGAAAAAAGATCACTGGCACTGTATCTGCGATTGACAAGAGTGGGAAAGCCCAGAATTGAATTGTCTGAGGGGCTATGTGGTCCCTCCACAAGAAGAACGTGGAAGTATTTTAGTAAAGAAGCTAAAGGGAGAACAGCCCACTTTAACTTTTTTTTTTTCTACAGCACTGGCAACTTCCATGGGCTTGAACTCACTTGAAATTTAAAGTGTACACCACCACTCAAATATCAGACAATACAAGTCATTCTGTGTGATAAATATTGAGCAATATCCATAACCTGTATATCTCAATACACTCTGCGTATATCTCTTTAGAAATAACACAGAGTCTTCAGCTGCTATGACATAACTAGTCAAATCTGTGCAGAGTTGTGTATCAACCCAGTAAGAGGTGGTCAGACTTAGCTACAGGCCTGTGAAAAACCTTGTGCAGGAAACTCATGACATATTGGCGTTTCAGTGATTTACTTCACATTCCAATTTAAATTAGGGAACATGCAGCTTCAACCTACTGCTCCATTGCACCCACTTCCACTGCTATAACAAACTGTACTGAACAACCATAGGCAAGGTTTAAGTTGCAAAACATTGGATGCCAATGCTACTACAGCAATGAGTTTCCCCTGTAAAGGGTCTTACAACCAAGAAAATCCAGATAACTGGAGGGAAAAAAAAAAAAAGGCAGAAAAAAGAAAACAACAGAAAAAAAAAACTCCTTGTGTGATTCAATTTTAAGTTGAAGCTTGCATAACCTCAACACCAACAAAAACATCAGCAGACCAATGAAAAGCTGTCCAGGTTACCTTTAGGCTACATGATGCTGATGCTGAGCAGTCAGAGGACATGCTGCATAGAGGACTTGTGGCTCCTCCTGTGGTGGTCCCTTCATCCATCCGCAGTATATACAAATCATAGTCAGGGGGATTAAATTGCAGCAAGGTATACTGTGGGCTAGACGAAAATGCTTAACAACACTGTTTTTACAACATGTTTTAGATCTTATTTAGATACAGAACCTGGACTATTTTATTCTAGTGTTAAGAGCAGACCTCAAAGAATAAATGTCTCCATTCACATCATTGGAGCCCTTTTGATCTTTGTAATGACACCAACAAATTTATCAAATTGGACTGAGAAATGCACGAGTATCTCAGGAAAATGATGGGCAGTGCATTAATAACCAGAATAAATGCATCAGACTATCAAACAGCTCTCTACAAGCTAATGGATGAAGTTTATTAGTAGAGGAAAGAGTGGCATTTAGTTTGGATTTATGATGCCTACTTGCTGGTCTCATGACCACTGCAAGAATGTCACATTATATTAGCCAACATAAACATTCCACTTCAGCTTCTTTAGAAGTTATACATCTTTTCAACTTATAAGTGTTTAGATAGTAAGATATATGCTGAGCATAAAGCATTAATGTTTAAAAGAAATTATTTTCCTTGTATAAAAGCTACTCTAGGTGCCTACAATACCAAAGGATAGAGCCCAGCCCTTACTCTAGGAATAATGCATATTGGTGTGCTCTAATCTCCACAAAATTCTTATCTGTAAGGCTTCCCCTTTAAAAGGGTATTAGACTGTAACTGAAGGAGCTGTTCAAGTATTTTTCTTAGTTTCTGTTTTGCCTTTTAAACTAATAAACCCATCAATTATGATTCACTTCTGTATTATGCATATGACTAAAATCAGTGGAGATGTTGGTGTTAAAGAGAACTTAAGCTTTGACTATCCATTCTTCTCTCCCCACTTCTCCCCCTCACCCAGACCACAATACTATTTTTTGCAGCAATTAAACACATTTCTTATACATACCTATTTTCACCCACTTTACACTAAGCCACCCAAAGACTGATAGTTCCTGTACTCAGAAACAGCTTTTATTAGAACAGTAAAAGGCATTAACTTTTTCATTTAACTAGAACTTTTATTTTATTTCTTTAAAAAATGAAAATGAGGTAAATGAGAGAACCAGAGAGAATCAAAATGTGAAGTCAGAATGACTACTGGCAACATTTCCCAGGAATCTCTTTCCCCCCTGCCCATACACCTTCATTTTGAAGTAGGTAAAGATAAGAAGACATTGAAAGAAAAATACATTTATTGAACCTGACAGGAAATCAAGCAGTTGCAGCTAACTAAAAAGGCATTAGACTTTTCTCAGCTCTCTGGATTTTGCTTGTGATAGGAAGATTTACCGTGTTAACGACAGGACTTTGGCACCTGTTTTTCCACTAGTTTCTGATGAGAACTGAGCATCCAAATCGCCTTTGGACAGCTTTTCAAATACCACCCCTAACTTCTTCATCGTACTTCACGGGTAGCAGAAGGACAACCGCTTCCAGCACTAAACACGAACAACCCCCCTCCAGGGTGACACAGGCCCTGGACATGCACGGGCCTGTCAGAGGCACAACAGGAGCAGCAGCTCCCCCAGAGGGCCCCAGGCCTGAGGGACAGTCCTTTGCCAACAGGCACCTTGCAGCTCCCTGTCTTCACCATACATGAAAATTCCCCGTCACCAGTAGTAATTAGGGCATACTCATATGCTAGCAAACATTTCTGGTATATATATATATATAAACTTCAAAAAAACAAACACATCAAATCTCCTGGCAGCCCACAGTGGGGCATGGCCTCCCCAGGGATTGACTAAAGAAGATGTCACAGAGGTGCCTTATCCCCAACCCTGGATTTCTGAATTTGACATCTTAGTGCAAGATCTGGCCAGGAGGAAGGTTGAGTTTCCCCTGAGAAGACAGCTTCTTCCTCAGACCGTTACCCCAATTGCTGGGCTGTGACTGAATGGGAAATGAAGGGAAAGAAGATAAAAAGAAATGAGAGAGGAAGGCAGGTGAGAAGCTGGCTGCCGTCCAACAACAATTCCTCCTTGCCGCGTGGAGGAACACTGCCCTGTAACAGAGATTGACATTAACACATTGCCCACATGCATCTGCCGAGGCTCAGTTACTACTTTTTTACAGTCACCCTTTCCAATACCCTCGATCTCCATGAAGATAATTCCTGGCATTCCACGTAATGCGACCAGGCTGTGAGGCGCTGCTGGGTGAACCTGCTGCAAAGGGTGCCAGATTAAGTGCGGGGAGCGAGTTATGAATTGGTTACTGTAATTTACTGACTGCTGTGGGGGGAGGACAGAGGGCATGGCACAGTTTTCACAGCATGAATTAGAGTCCTCTGGTGAAATGAGGGTGCTTTGTGCTGATTAAATTATAAGAAATGTGCACCTGGGCCACATAAAGACCCAATGTTCTCTCCATATAAGTTGACAGATAATATAAATGATGTACATCATAATTTCAGTATCATCTGAAAGTTTAATACATGTACTTGTGAGATGCTTTTCTCCTTTTAAATTGCAAACACAGCAAAACTGGGGACTTGGTGTTACTGATGAGCCAGGGTTGCTCTGCTTTACGTGTTACAATGCCCATATGTAAAGAGAATCATGACACCCCAGCATACCATCATAATCTTTTTCTTTTTGAGTTGTTACTGTAGCTGAATGGTCCAGAAGAAGCCTAGGTTAAGTAGCAAGAGAGAAGGATTTGAAGGAGTAGCTTTTAACTGAAATGAGTTTCAGCCATCTAAAATATGCAGTGTTTTGCCACAGGAAAGGGCACTTACAGAACCAGGAAGGCTACATAGAAAAGAAAAGATGAGCCATTAATCAATTAAGGCAGAAAATTGAGTGTGTTAAATAGCAGGGCATCATTTCCCTCTTTATGCCTGTGGAAGTTTTGAATTCAACACAGAGGGCTTTTTAGTCTGTTCTTCTGGAATGGCAGCTGTGCAAAGATCCTTTCCCAACTACTAAAACAAAAAGCCAAACAAGCAAAAAACTCCCAAATGCAAAACTAAAACCACACTTCAAATGCTGAAGCGCTCCCTTTTCAATGATTTTTTTGCTTAATCTTGCTTTCACCATATCTCCACAGGTTTCAAATGCATCTGTAATCATTCTATTCTTTTCAGAAGCTTTAAATCAGAGAAAATGTGTTGAAAGAAGAAAAAACAAATGTCACAAATTTGAAGGTTAACAGCATTACTTCATTTGTTAAATTTTCAAGAAAGCAAGTTACCAAGACATTTAATTATTTATTTTGAAAAAAAATAGGGAAGCTGAAGAGAAATACCTATAGTTATTGGATCAGAGAGAATAATATGAAGCTATCTGCAAGTGTCATAAAAAGAATGCTGAAGGAAAAAATATTAAAAGATGATCTGTAGCACAGAGGATATCCTCACATAAGAAGTCACTCCCAAAGAAGGGCTTTGTTTGGTTTGATACTCATCTCTAGTACTGCCTGCTTTCTTTATCATATCAGGTTTTGGGAAGTTTATAGGGGGAAAAGGTCTTTGGTTTAAGTTTATTCTTTCTTACATAGATAGTAGTAAACCGCATAACAATGAGTATTTTGCACTACTATCTTGTACATGAATATAATAACTGATGTTATTTGCTTCACAAAAAGAGAAACAGTATAAATAAAGGGAGTATGTTTCAAAATTTCCTGATGTAGTGAAACCTCCGTCTTTAAAAGCAGAAATCATTTTCTTTAAAGTCTAAAACAGTCAAGGTGATGAAGTTCTTTCAATATTGCAAGATCATCCTTAATAAGGAAAGGAATCCAACATACCTGGCACAAGTACTTACTTTCATTTCTTCTTTGAATAGAGCTGAGAGGCATTACTTCCTCCATGAGAGCGAGCAAACAAAAGGGAATGTGAAAACCTACACAAATTATAATTAAGATACTCAGTAGCAGATCTCTGTAAGCCCTCATCACTTAGTTGTCAGACTAAGTGATAAAAAAGGAAATAGTTCACCTTGGAGTAAGCAGTGACATGGCCTAAAACAAAACAAACGAAAAAAAAAGAAAGAAAAAAAACACCACCCTGGACAAGTATTCTGACTAGTCCAGAGGAACATGAATTGCATATTGAGTTGATTTTCCTCAGAAGGATGAAACATTTAGACACAGAGAGCCAGGTCAGAGACAATATACTGATAGTGAGACAGACTGCATTTTTTTCTTCTCAAGAAGATTGCCAAGTGCAATAAGTCACAGTTTCTGAGTAAGACTTTGCTAATTTTTAAAATTACTTTGAGCAGAGGGGACTTTTACTATCTGCATGAATGAGAGTCATGCCAAATGCGGTCTTGACGTTTCAACCACTGTCTAGGTATGAGAAGGCATTGCTCCTCTAAAGCCAGGTAAGTGAGTCTTACCCAGAAATTATTTTAGGTTCGTGCTAAAGGTAAGCTGAGCTGGAGAAACAAAGGAATCAGAATAAAGGATGTCAAAATCAGAATAAAGGACTATGTCAAAGTCCGGAGAGTTTCTCCACAATTTGGAAACATTCCAAATATATGAGGGATGATGGTATCAGTGAGTGTGTTTCACGAGACTTGCCAGTGCTCAAGACAACTATGCCAGAACTGTCTCACCAGTACGAACATTCCTATAATGTCACTTGGAAAATGAACATATTTTTAGGTGCCTAACTAGTGGCAGCAGTCTGAGTAAAGCCATTAGATGCTGGCTGCTGCTTCTTTTTTTTCATCCACTCGTTTTTTTAAGATCACAAGAGCCAAAGGAATTTATATATGTAGAAAGTATCGGAAGAAGGCTTTTAGAACTAGGCCGGGCTTTGAAAGAAATATGCACTGGACATGAAGACTATTGAGCCAGAAATTAATAAAACAGAGGACACCTGTTTATCAAGTGTCAATGGTTTGCTTCCCTTACTTGCAGTGTATAGTGTCTCACTGTAGTCTCACTGGGACAATTACCACAGCAAATTACTACTCAGCACAAATAAATGTGGAAAAGTCTGGCTCTAAGCTTTTAAGTGCTTTTTTAATGCTTTAATGTGTTTTAAATTGTTTTTATTATTATGCACAGCTACATGCTAGGGGCGATTCTGTATAGATGTAGCTAAGTCGAGCTCTCTGTTCAAAGGTCAAGGCTTGTAAGTGTTACTAACTAGGGACACAGTCATAAAATGAGTTATGTTTTCCTAGATAATAAATAAATAAATAAAGGGAAAAAAAGGAAACAGACCTAGCTATTGTTTAACATTACAGGAAATCAATTCTGCTTCTCCATAGCACAGCACAAAAATACTATGACCAGATGCCCTGGTAAGCTGCACTCTGCCCTACCCAATATGTACAGCATCACAAAAGAGGTAGGTACATACTGGACTATTTCAATTGCTAGAAGAAAGCTCATCTATCTCAAAGGTTTTGTCAGTCTCACAAGACAGGAGGCTAATATAAGATTTCTGTCTCAGAATTCAGCTCAGTGAATCAAATGTCATTGTAGAAAAGGATGTGATGAGAGCACAGAGGGTATGGAGAAAGCAAGAGGTGATATACAAAAGCTTAAAAGTCTATTTTGTGAGGTCAGGGAGGTGACATTTTGGACCACTGAATCAGAATGGTCTTTTCAGGCTGCAATTCTCTGCAGGGTGAAAGATACTCTCTTTTAAAGATAACTACCACTACTATTTCATGGTACAGCTGATATGCAACTGACTGGAAAAGAAAATAAAAATTCAGCATAGCTAATATTCTTTCTAATGTCAAAAATTAATATGCATATTTGGAACTCACACTATATTTCTTCTGATGGACATATACATTTGGGTTAGATCCAATGCCTCAACAGGTTATATTTTGTATGTGCTAGTGTCTTCTTTTACCACTTTCAGGAAGATGAGCTGTACTAGCAAAATGAAACTTTTTGAAAGACAGTAGTAAAGAGTTTTCTTTCAAATCCAAAGTTAATTCTGTACATTGAGGTGCACCTCTATGATGAACACTGAAGCCTGCATTCCTGTTATTAAGGTGATAGAGTCTACGATAATTTACAGAGGTGAATGCAGAGGTTAAATCCCCAACCAACAGCTCTAGATTGCTTTGTCTAAATTAATAACAACTCTGAATAAAAGGCTTCTAGTCCAGCTGCACAGCCTCACACTTAACTTTTCCATTAGTGTCACTGGCCTCCCAGGGGTCTCTTCTCATACTTCATATGTTTATGGACAAGACTGAAATGACTCTATATGCATCAGCTGGGCTGAGTGAACATCTCTCTCCTCCTCTAACATCCATCAACATTATTTCCTATGATCATACTATGACCATGTCAGAAGTACAGCTATGCCTTGAAAAGCTAATATAAAGACATAGCAGAAATCCTGGCAATCTTTTGAGTGCGAGCAGGCAAAACAGAGGGGTGCTGCAGCTGATGGGATGACAGCACCTGCATGTATGAGTGGCACAAGTGCCTCCTGAAGACAGATCCCTGTTGGTTTCCACTTAATTGCTTACAAAAAGGAAGACACAGTGAAATTTTACACAGAGAGTGTGAAATCATAAAGTTCTTACCCCACACTCAAGTCACAGGAAGCAAGCTGCCTGCTGCTGTTGAGCTCTGGATCCAGTGCTGAGCCCTATCTCGGAGGCTTCTGGTTTAATCTGGGGATAGGGTCACTGGGCTGCCTGGGACCAAAGATAAGGCTTTGTAAGGCATACAAATCAGTATGACCTCTAAGAGCCTCTGCTACTATTATTGTTGGATTTATTTTGCAACTGAGACTTTAAAGATTAAATAAGTAACAAGAGATGTTTTTGAATGGATGCTTCCTGATTAGACCAAAATGGCCATTCTAGAATTGTTCTTTGTTCCTTTAAGGCTGCAGCAAAAAAACAAAATAAAACAAAAAAAATCACACACAGCACCTCTGGAAAGTAACAGGGAATACCACATTTTCAAATTCATAAAATTCCTGTCTATGAAAACTAAGTAAAAGACTTACTAGAACCAGGAGTTCATGGAAAACCGAGCGTTGCTCTGTCCTATCACTTCTCTGAGACATGAATTGCCTTTTGAAATCCTAACTGCTCATCTGGCCACGAGCTTGTCTGCAGCACTGATTGTTAACTGAGTCATGTTTTTTGATAGCTTTATGCTGCAGACAAACACACACTAAAGAACATGCCTATCAAAACTAATTTGCAGGGTGACCTATGCCAGGATTAAACACAGGACTCCAAAGGTGAAAAGAGACTTTATCAATCAGCTAACTATGCTATCAGACATAGGATGATATAACAGATTTAATAACAAAATTAAGTGCTAAATCAATTTAGTCAACTATATGCACAAAATAATTAAATACTATATTGATTTACACTTTTATTGGAAAAGAGGAAAAAGACAATTAAGCTGCTTTGGTCCTGTTGTTTTGTTATGTTACTCTCATAAAATATAAAAATGAGGATGGTTTCACAAAGAGTAAGCCTCATCAAAATTATTTCTTACCTATTGAAACAACTCCGTTCAAGCCAATAACACAACTAAGATGAGTAAGACATCTCAGTAACACATCTGTGATAGCTATCAGACATATCTAGCTACATAGAAAGGAGGAAAACTGAACACTGATGGACAAAAACAAGGAAGAGGTACTTATGTTTAAGCATATTCGGTTTGGTAGGATTATACAGAATAAAGGAGATAATAATGTGGTTAAAATATATTACATAAAAATACGCTTGATATTCACACTCACTGTTTCAATACGTCTACATTTGAATTTGTCCTAAATCTGTTATAGCTGGAGATTAAAGGTGTGGTTCCTTTACTATTTCTTTTTTCCTGTTTCGTTTGTTGCTTACCTTTTTTCTTTCCATGTTACTTTGTATGATGATCTCATGCTGAACTTGCTGGTGAAAGAAACAGTTATTATTTCACCACTGTAACATCTGGCAGAACTATCCCTGTGAACAATACAGTTTTTATTAAACAAAATATTAATAGCAATTCCTAATAATTTCTCTGTTTGGTATAATTTCAAGAATTATGAAAACTTGCATACTATTGAGACTGCTCTCTATGTGCTTTGGCTTTAGTAAGCAAAAATTATTATTTTTACTGACATATTTTATATTTTGAGTAGGCAGTTTTACCTGATGTGCTTAGATACATTGCTCATGTACTAACCCTACAGAAGCTTTACACTTTTTAAGAAATATGCTCAAGTCTGACTGCAATGCAGAGTGTGATTTTAGATGAGTCCTGTATAAAGGAGGTTATCATTGTGAATACTCACAATTATGAATTCAAAACTCACTTCCCACTTTTGTCCCACAGAATTAGCATAACATTTATTGCTCCAGTGAATATTCCCTCTATATTCTCTAGAATATTCATGGAAACTAAATGGAAAAGAGGTACAACCAGCTTCATTAAAAATTCTAATGAATGTTTTCCATTTTTGGCAGCATTCTTCACACTTCATTAAAAACCCAAACAGTTATTCCATAGAAACGTAGAGTAAAAACGAACAAGTAAAATTAAAAAAAAAAAAAAACTTGCACACACAACTTACATCCCTGCAACTTACCATTGCAATGATCCCCTCATGCTTCTTGTGTTTGCCATAATCCCTTCTCTCAGCCTACCTCAATTCCCACACGGGTTATTCTCTTTTTCTGAAGGTCCCCGCTCCCATCCTCCTCCTCCTGGCCCCTGCCTCCTGGGAGTCCAGAGGAAGGAAGCCTTGCAGCAGGCATTGGGGTGCTGATGGGCCAGCAATGCACCCTGTGGGGACAGCTCCAATTTTCCTGAACTTAATCCCTTTGGGACTCACTGCTCCTGATAGATTTGGTTGATGCTGGCCCTCATGATAATAAGTGTTTTGTAACAGAGAAAGCTGGAGACTGATAAGTGATTGCATAAAAGTAGCCAAAACTGAAAGAACCACAAGGCCCTCCTGTTATTCTTTTTTTGTCTCATGCCTCAGATGAGTATTACTTGCAACTTACAAGTGCCTTATGATGCCTTTATATTAGGATAGGGTGGGATTTTCTACAAAGAAAGGGGATAGAGGAAAACAAAACAAAACAAACAAAAACAACGAAGCACATGCTCTTGGTGAGGACACACCTTTGGCTGTGTATTTCCTAGCACCCAAAAGTCCTGAAGACACGATCCAAGCATACAGAGCTGCTGCCAACACCAGCCACAAAGCTGCCCACAGGAGCCCTGGCAGAAGCAACATGAGCCCGTCAGCACAAGATACACCTGCAGGGCAATACCCAATCCTGAACATCTCTTACTGAGCAGCAAAAACGACCTTTCTAGACTGTGCCAGGCGTGACACTTGGGTCGCAAGGTTTACATAGCTTCTCACCAAATAGAGAGACAGATGGAAACTCATCAGGAAGAACTAATATTGTTTCTCTTCCAACAAACAATCAGTAGCATCTGGGTAGAGGGGAGCAACAATATATTTCTGTGATGACAGTTAATAATTTCTTAGGAAGTCTTAGTAAATAAACAATTCTATTTAATTTTAGGATTTGCTTCATGATTTCAGCACTCTTTGTGAATGATTGATGAAGTTTGCTTTATTCATTTACGCAGAGCTGAGACACGATTTGGGTGTCTTGGGTGTCTTTATCCCTGTTGCTGGTAGTGGAACTATCACCCAGAGTACAGTGACATACACATGCAGGCAATGATTTTTTTTTTTTACAAATATTTCTTTACAATTATTGAAAACATCTCATGAAAATTAACTTCAGCCTGTCGGTTTGTGCTCAGCAATCACTACAAGTATATGCCAGATGTTTGTTTTCACCATTCTATAACCAGTCGTCTCACTGGCATTGCTGCATTTCTTGACTGAATACCAGAACACTGTGCACTTGTCCAGCTGTTTTGCAGAGTTACATTTACTATACCTTACTCTAATTGCTCTGTTTTCGGTTTCTTTGTTTTTTAATTTTAATTCTAAGCAAATGCTTAGCTTAAAACACTGTCAGTAATAGCATTAAAATTAAAATACTGTAGTCTGAAATCAGACTTAAAATGGCATCCTAGTGAGAGCATTGGCAAGCCCAAGCAGAATACCAGATCTGAGATTTTATTTTCAGGGTCTTAAGAACAAGAGCAATGTCATGGACTCTTAATCTTAAATATCAAACAGATAAACTGTGGGTCTACGGGAGAAAAAAAAAATCTCTTTCCTACTCAGTTCTGACAAAAAAACAGGCAAATCCATATGCCTCAGTGAGTCAGGAGCTGACCTGTAAGCAGCTAAACCCATGTACTGTAATTGTAGCACCATACACATCAGCTGGTTGGGCGAGAAGAATTTTACCACAAGCACCAGCATTTACTGCCAGGTCACACTTCTGAAAAATGAACACATACACACACACACATTTTTTTTTTTTTCCCTCCCCAAGGGCTATCACAGTTCCGTTTCTGGACTGTCCCAGACTGTCTTTTTACACCCTTCTACTTTCTCCTTAATTTACCTTATATAGAATTGCATACTCTTCATCACTAAAGCCCTTCTTGCCTAGGTATATGCCCTCTGTAACTGTCCATCTTCAGTTTTGGGCTATGGTGTGTGCCAAGCTATATGCTTACTCCAGTTTCTCATCTGCTGATCATGTCAGCCTCTATTACCCAAGTGCTACATTTATTCAGTATTTTCAGATTTTCTTTCTCCATCACGCTTTGGAAAACTCCCCGGAAAGATGCATATTCCTTCTCAAATCTCTTGCAGTTCTTTTTGTTTGTTTGTTTGCTTTTAATTAAAAAAGCCGTTGACAAATTATATTTGGCATACCAATCAAGATAACTTCATTATATTCTCTAATTTCCTATTTTCACACCTATTATCAACCTGCTGTCTCAATTTCAGCATAAATTATAAAGTTTTGAACATACCTCTCTACATACCTTCACCATCTTTATCTTTCTTGTTGTATTAACTTCAAATACTTGTCTTCTTTTACTGTATCCTCCAATGTGTACCACAGGGCAGCTATGTGGAGGATTTTAAGGTAGAATGGGAAAAGGTTATGTAGAAATGAAATAATAGCACAGAGTTTGTACATATAAAATTCCCATCATAATGGGACCTCCCCTTTTGATTTTCATTTCTCACAATGATATACTGCACAAAGAAAGCATATCAGATTGCTGCTTCTTCTGCATGAAAAGGCTTTTGTATCAGTTACTTCCCTGAGAAAAAGGCCACAGAGGGTAAAAATTTACACAAGAGGAGGCAAGTCTCTATTGAAGAATACCAACTTCAGCCTATAGCTAGTATAAGCTAGTATAATCAACATTTAGTACCAAGCTGCAAGAAGTAACATATAAAGAGAAGGAGAGTTATAGTAACTGATAAGATAAAGGCAACATAGTCACATAAAATGATTCTTCTTTCAAAACTATAACTGGCCAGTTTGCCTCCCCCCACACTCCCGAATGCATTTTTCAAGAAATAAGAATACATATTTTAACTGTTCAAAACATGTTGTGAGCAAACTCAAAAATCACAGGAAATGCAACAGATAGAAAAATCTTAATATATCAAGCTGACATCCAGTTTCTTATCTGTTGTTTGTTCACAAATATCTACCCTAATTCTTTCAAAACTAACTGTAGGTATCCCAATGAACATCCATGGTGTTAGCGTGTTTTGGGTTGGAGTGACTTCCAATACAAATTTTGTACAGAACGGTTAAGATTATGCACGTGGCACATGTTCTTCAGATAGCCCACATGCACTGAAGGAAAAAAAAATGCTCATTGATCACACACCCGTTACACATAAATATTAAACAACACTAGCTGCACTAGAGACATTCAAAACCGAAACAATAGTTTAATTGTATTTCCATCTAACTGCATAATTGAAGATGCTACATCCCTTTCCTTG